CCCGCTGCTTGTAAAAGCAATCCTGCAGCTAATTAGCCACTAGGATTGCATTTATATGAAAGCCGATCGCCGGCTGAAAAAAACGATACCAGGGTGATGCCTGCAGCTGTAGACATCATCCTGGTATAACCATTCAAAGTCCAGTGATATACCAGTACATCGCTGATCCTTGTTGGGTGTTTATGCTATGTTCTTTTTTTTTTTTTTTGTATGCAGCCTGTGGACTGAATGAGAAAAAGAGAAGAAATCTCTGCCAGAAAAAGTGTGTGGTATGCCCACCATTAGAATATACCACCCTGCATCCACCCACTTCTAATGGTGGGCACACATTGGGTCACACTTTGCCACAAGCGCCAGTTCCAAGAATAAACAAATGTTTAGCTTGAATAAAAATTGTCCACGTATAAGTGGTACCCCATATGGAAAAAGGATGACACCAAGTCCCAAACTATCTTGCCACTGCTCCCTATGTAGTCTGGGCCCCCGGCGGGCTCCTCGTGACTATCTTTTCCCTCGTAAATCCGAAACTTATAAGTGTAGCCTTTTGTCCTCTCACAGGTCTTCTACATCTTGACCCCATATCTGGCATGCTTGCAGGGGAGAAATTGTTTGAATGCAAGATGGCCAGAAAAATTAATGAGGGACTCATCAACGCAGATGTCTTGCTGGGGAGTATAGACATCTGCAAATTTTTGGTTAAGTTGACTTGTGAGGGGCTGAATTTTGTGGAGCCAGTCAAATTTAGGGTTACCCCGAGAATGACAGAGTGTACTGTTGTTGAAATGCATAAAACACATTATACTCTCATATCTTTGCCTGGCCATGGCAGCAGAGAACACAGATGATGAATCGGGTCTGCAGATCAATACAACCGCAATTTTTTTTTAGTAATGCCCATGTTGAGGGTAAGGCTCAAAAAAAATTTAAATTCGAAAACCGTAATGAGTTTCCATGCGACTGGTCTGGCAAGGTTTGAATTTGGATTGGCGGCGATAATTTGTTGTGCATATTATTATTATTATACAGTATTTATAAAGCGCCAATAGTTCGCTCAGCGCTGTACATTACAAAGGGGGACAGAACATGTGACAGAACAATAACAATACAATGCAAAACATGAGGGGATTGAGGGCCCTGCTCTTTCGAGCTTACAATCTAGAAGGGAGGGGATGGTGGCACAGGAAGAGATAGCTGTGGGGGATGGAGTGGTAGGAAGAGTGGAGGAGGTCAGCAAGTTAGCAGTGGGTGGGGTAGGCTTCCCTGAAGAGATGGGTTTTCAGGGTGCGCCTAAAGGAGAGGAGAAAAGGTGATAATCTGATGGGTTGAGGCAGGGAGTTCCAGAGGATGGGTGACACCCTGGAGAAGTCCTGGAGGCGGGCATGGGAGGAGGAGACCAGGGAACTAGAGAGAAGGAGGTCTTGTGAGGAGCGGAGTGTGCGTGCTGGGCGGTACTTGGATATTAGGTCAGTGATGTAGTTCGGGGCAGTATGGTGGACGGCTTTGTACATCAGTGTTAGGATTTTGAATTTGATCCGTTGCGCAATCGGAAGCCAGTGGAGGGATTGGCAGAAGGGGGTGGCGGAAATGGAGTGGTTGGAAAGGTGAATGAGTCTGGCAGCCGTATTCAGGATCGACTGAAGCGGGGAAGGCCAGCGGCGAGGCAGGCCAGTGAGGAGGGAGTTGCAGTAGTCGAGTCGTGATATGATGAGGGAGTGGATGAGCGGTTTAGTGGTTTTTGGGGTTAGGAACGTGCGTATTTTGGCGATGTTGCGGAGGTTGAGTCTGCACGAGTTTGTTAAAGATTGGACTTGGGGCTGGAAGGATAGGTTGGAGTCCAGAATGACACCAAGTACTCTGGCCTGTGGGGCGGGTTTGATGGTGGCGTTGTTGGATGTGATGGAGAAGTCAATGGGGGGAGGTGTCCGGGCTGGGGGAAGAAAAGAAACTCGGTTTTGGAGAGGATCAGTTTGAGGAAGTGGAGCGACATCCAGTCTGATATGTCGCTCAGTAGGTGTGTGATTCGGGTGGAGACTGAGGTGGTGAGGTGGGGAGTTGAGAGATAGATTTGTGTGTCCTCGGTATATAGGTGGTAGTTGAAGCCGTGAGAGTGTATGAGTTGGCCAAGGGAGGAGGTGTAGATGGAGAAGAGAAGGGGCCCGAGGACGGAGCCTTGAGGGACCCCAACAGAGAGGGGGAGTGAGAGGGAGGTGGTAGCATTATAGGTAACGCTGAAAGAGCATTGTGACAGGTAGGATGAGAGCCAGGAGAGAGCAGAATCTCTGAGGCCAAGGGAGTGTAGTTTTTTTAAGGAGGAGGGGGTGGTCGACTGTGTCGAAGGCCGCAGAGAGGTCAAGGAGTAGGAGCACTGAATAGTGGCCATTAGCTTTGGCAGTTAGCAGGTCGTTGGAGAGCTTGAGTAAGGCAGTTTCGGTGGAGTGTAGCATATAAATTGCTTTGATCCACAATCAACACATACAGATATTCCGTGAAAAACAGCTCCAAAAATTAAGGGTCATAGTTAAATCAGCGTGTTCCTGGCAATCAAGGGGTTAAATGTGATGACTGGTGTACTGACAGGCAATCTGTCGCTATCTGGGAAGGGTGTGAAAACCACCGGAGTGCGACTCACATAAATATATGTGTGTGTGTGTGTGTGTGTGTGTGTGATTTTGTGCACCCGTGCCGCCTGTAGCAGTATTTCTGCTATAGGGCGGTCAGGAAGCAGTTAGAGAAGCGGTTTGTGTTACGTCGCTGCGTTACTTTAACTGACAATTGCGTGGTCATGCAACACTGCACCCAAATTAAATTTACGTCCTTTTTTTCCCCCACGAATTGAGCTTTCTTTCGGTGGTATTTGATCGCCTGTGTGTTTTTTATTTTTTGCGCTATAAAAAAAAAAAGGCTGACAATTTGGAGAAAAAAAAAAAATAATATTTTGGATTTTTTGCTATAAAACATGTCCAGTAAAACACTTTAAAAATCAAATTTCGTCATAAATTTCGGCCAAAATGTATTCTGCGACATGTCTTTGCTAAAAAAAAAAAATCCCAATACGTGTAAATTCATTTGTTTACGTGAAAGTTATAGCGTTTACAAATGGTGGTATAGATACTGGATTTTTATTTTTTTTTATACTAATAATGGCGGCGACCAGCGACTTGTGGCGGCGATCAGCGACTTCTGGCGGGACTGCGGCAGACAGACATTCTGACACTGGGGGGGGGGGCTGACTTGGGGTCACGGACATACCCAGTGACACCAATACAGTGATCAGTGCAAAAAAAAAAAAAAACAAAAAACGAAAAGCAATGAAAGGGTTAACTGTGTGAGGGGAGTGTTTTACTAAGGGGCGGGGGTGTGTGCTTCACAGGAACATGCTGATCCTGAGTGATAAACTCCCTCTCAGGATCAACATGCTCGGAACTGACAGAGAGCAGAGCTGCAGTGTAAACCCTGCAGCCGTGCTCCCAGTCAGTGATTGTCGGGACCCGGCGGGTAATGACTGGCCGGGACCAGGTGATTGACACCCTCGGCCGCGATCAGCGGCAAAGGTAAGGCGCACGCCCCCTACCTGTTTTGCAGAATGACGTTTTAAAACATCGTTCTGCGCAGCAGTGCCGCCCTGCTGCAGTATAAACACTGTGGCTGGTCGGCAACCAGTTAAACAAGGTACTTAGATGTTTTGTTTTGATTAAAGTGTTACTAAACCCAGGACCTTGCATTCACTATATCTGCTCTCCCACAGTACACAAACCATGGAAATGCAATTATTTTAGTAAATATAAACTGCTAAATACCTTTTTTCATCAGCAGTTAGAGCAGTCTTGCGGCTTCTGTGTCCAGCCCAGCACTAGCTAAAGCTTGCACAAGGAGTTTTCTTTCTGTTCTAGGAGGATGGAAATCACCTGACCTCTGTCCGGACAGTGCTGATTGGCCCTGTGCTGATCACATGCACTCTCCCAAGAAAAAAAAACCTCTCTAGCAATATATACCAAACTGATTATGCGCATGCCTACGGTTCAGTCTGGAGATAAGTGGTGGTTGCTTGAAAAAGGGGAGGAACAGAGAAGAAAGGATCAAACAGCCTTTTTACACAAGGCAGAAGATTAACCCCTTAGGTTCTACAGTGAGTATAAAAACCATGCTTTATTGCATATACAGACCGATTTTACGGTTGTGGGTTTAGTTACACTTTAACCACTTCAATACCGGGCATTTTTACTCCTTCCTGCCCAGGCCAATTTTCAGCTTTCAGCATTGTCACACTTTGAATGACAACTGCACGGTCATGCAACCCTGTACCCATTAAACATTTATATCTTTTTTTCACACAAAAAGATTTCTTTTGATGGTATTTAATCACCACTGGGTTTTTTTATTTTTTGCTATAAATTTAAAAAAACCTTAAACTTTTTGGAAAAAAAAACAAACAAAAAAAAAAAACCTTTCTTCATAAATGTAGGTCAAAATGTATTCTGCTACATTTGGGGAAAATAACCCAAATCCGTGTATATTATTTAGTCTGTAGGAAAGTGTGTGTGTGTGTGTGTGTGTGTGTGTGTGTGTGTGTACAAATATCTCCCAAATGACCACTTTTTGGAAAATAGACAGTCCAAGGTGTTTAGTAAGAGGCATGGTGAGTTTTTTTTGAAGTTGTAATTTTGTGTCACAATTATTTGGAAAATTAATGAAAAAAAAAAAACACTTTTTTCCTACATATTGTCACAAGTCCAGTACAGTGTTATCATATAACTGGTGTGGCAGTGATCAGGGACACTGACTGGTGACAGTATGTAAAAAAAAAAAATAATTTTTTTTTGTTTTTTCAATATTTTCTTTTTTATTACTTATTTTTTTTTCAACACACTGTAACCAGAGCAATACAATGTTACCACAATAACATTGCACTAATCTGGGCAAGCAAGCAGGATTTTTAAACATTATGATTGCTTATACCAATGTATTTAATTGATATCTACAACCATTTTACTGAATGAAACTGATTCATTCAGTGTCATTTGTTGTGATTGGCCAAAGCTCATCACATGGTACAGATGGGCTGTGATTGGCCCTGTCTGTACCATGTGACGGCTGTGACCAATCACAGCTAAGAACACAATTGCATACAATGGATGGCATGAAACGAAGCGATCCATTGTATACAACTGTCATGTGATCTGCTGTGATTGGTCATAGCGATCACATGACACTGGCAGTGGGCCGGTATAGTGATCTGTCATCGGCTGTGTCCCGTTGACACAACAGGTGACAGATCGTGCCGCTGCGCGGCTCTGTGAGTGGCCCCGCGAACGTCGCCTTCTGACAGGACGTCATATGACATCCACTCAGAAGGAGGAGCATCCTACCCAGCCGTCAATCTGCTATAGGAAGGTGTTAAAGTAATTACAGTGCCATCATCCACATACAGAAAGAGAAGAAATAATGTTAACTAAACAGGGTGTGTTTAGTATCACTTTAAGTAATGGAGACAGGCAAGGGTGTCCATTATACACTCTTATTTGTAATAGCACAGGAACCCCTAATACCCGTATCAGAACTAACCTAGATATAAGTTCTCCAAAACTCAAGCCCTCACCATTAGGTCGTGAGCATACTCCAACGACTTAGTTGTCTTTGTAACCTGCCTGACATACCTATCCCCCAATGTCTTAAAAGTACTATACGCTTACGCAGGCATCTCGAAATACAAAATAAATGTACGCAAGTAAGAGGCCCTAAAGATCAGTCTTGCTCCAGACTCTCTGCAATGAATATAGTCTAACTTTCCCTTTGCTGGGTATATAAGAAAATCAGATATTTAGCCATATATTTAACTCTGTCTCACTCAGAAATCTTTAAAGAAAATTTCCCTCCATGGCTGTCATCAACAAGGTCAGATCTTAAATGCTTTCATCAACAATCTTTCACATGGTTCAGGAAGAATGATATTTTAAAAATTACAGTCCTCCCAAGACTGTTTCTCCTGCAGACCCTTCCAGTGGCCTTACTTACCATGTTCTTTTCTCCAAACTAAAGCAGAATCCTTGACCTTTCTCTGACAATGAAAAAAACGATTACTTGTTGCCTTTTAGCTTTGCAAAAAGAGAGAGGTCATTAGCTTTCTGGACCCTTTCAAATTTTTTCAAATGGGGTTTTTCATGCCCTGTAAGCCATAATCATCATAATTATGACAATCACATCTTGAACTATCTTGCTTTGCATGTCTATCTCATATATTAGTTTCACCTTTTAAGTTGCATTACTGAAATAAATTAACTTTTGCTCGATATTCTAATTTTTCGAGTTTCACCTGTATATACATCTATATCTCTGAAAGCAAAAATGAGAAAAGTGTTTTCCAATTCGCTATTTCCAAAGTTCTGGTATAAAAGGTTGGAGTGACATCTAGTGGCAACATTTTGTGGCTGCCGAAATGCAAATTTTGAGCTATGAAATCCCAGCAGTTTTACAGTAAGTGCAAGTGTAAAGTAATTTTTAAAAATGGTTTCGGTCATGCCATAAGGCTAATTAACAGAAGATACCTTTTCCAACCAGGAAGGGGAAGAAATTATAGACTATTCAGAACCTGCAATAACAATCCAAGTTAAAGCTGGTTCTGAACTTAACAGTGAGCTTTTTCAGCTAGCACAGGTAAATACATCAAGTACTGGTAGAACATAGCAGACCAGTTAAATGTAAATTCTACTCAAGACCATAAAGGAGTTTAAAAGGGCAAAAATGATGTCAATACTGTATTTCAATAATTGGAAGACATGTATAACCTCCTGCTGGCTTGCAGGATTCACACGTGTAGCCTGATTTCTCAAGTTATTAAAGGGAAACAAAACACTCCTATCCTTTACAACCAAGGAAGTTGCCAGCTTTGCCTCTGTTTGGTCTGCAAGTTGTCATGGAGCTGCACATTAGATCGGTTATGACACCAGGCATTTTATGGCTTGACCGTTCAATTGAGATTTAACCTCGAAATACAGAAAGGTTTCTTCACAGTTAGAGTTGTGAACCTGTGGAATAGACTCTCTGTTGAGCTGTCTTTGGCAAGCTCAGTAGATTGTTTTAAAAAAATTAAGGGAAGGGAAGGAGAGGTGCCATGCCGCTGATGCTGTAGCACAGTTTATTGAAACCAACATAAATTCACAGCAGAAATACACTAACAAACATCCGAAGTGACAGGCTCAAAGTTAGCTCAAAGCAGCACCACCAAGGAGAAGTCCAACCCAGTCTGATGGCTGACAAAGGAGCCATGGCCTGGACTCCAAAACATGCTCCTATTGGCTACAGAGTCTCAGAGTTTAACATTTCTCCTGACAGCTTTCTCCTTGTGGCAGCTCCTTGGTTATTTGTCCAGATCCCTGCACAGCTTCCCACAGCGACTTTGACATCCATCTTGGCAGTCCCACTATGCTCTAACTTATGCCATATGTCACATGGGATGTTTGTGAGTGTATTTCTACTGTGTATATGTGTTGGTTTGAATAAACCATGCTACACCATCGGCGGTTTGGCACCTCTCGTTCCCTCCTTCTGTTACAGTGCTTGGGTTCGCAACCCTCCAGAGATGGCAACCTCACCCCAGCCTGTTGTGTTAGCCATTGATTGACTCACTGATTATAGTTTTAACCTGCAGGATCATACTTTTATGCATGTAGGCAAAAAGGTTTTAATGCATTTTGAGTTAGCTTTGTTTTATCCTATATGTTAATGCAAAGGGTTTTTGTCTAACCAGTTCCCCATACACAATTCAATCTGAGCAATCTGATTATAGCGAGGGTAGTGCCGAGTGTTTTTTTCTTTTGTTTAAAAAAAAAAAAAAAGATTTGGATTCGTTCCTAAAATGAACAAAAATAACTGGATACGAATATTTAGAGGTATTAGCACCAGGAGTAGTTGATCCAGGGAAGATCAGATTGCTTCCTGGGAATCGGGAAGGAATTTTTCTCACCTGCTGAAGCAGATTGGATCATGCTTTATTGGAGTTTTTTGCCTTCCTCTGGATCCACTGTGGGTATAGGATTGGGTATGTGGAGGTTTTCTATTTGTGTGCTTCTGTTTTTTTCTGTTGGTTGAACAAGGTGGACTTGTGTCTTTTCAACCAGACTATGTAACCATTTTATGTCAAATATTTGTTTAAAATATGAAGATATATAATGAATATTTGAATGTTCATTATAATCAGCATTCTACCTAAAAACAACCTACTTGCTGTGATCCCCTTTAGGTCTTATTCGCTGAAAGTGCAGCCCTTTTGAGGTTTGACATGCCTGCATTGGATAGGTAAAAAAAAAAAAAAAAAAATCTGAAAAAGGTCGCCTTAACTTACCATATGGGACACTCCAAAGTCTTTTGCATGACAGACAGGACATTGTGAATATCTTCAATATGTTGAGTTTCACAAGACATTCTCCCTCACTATAAAAAAAAACAACGCACATGTCGGTCATAATAAATTGCATGAAGCTTAGCAGAATGGTAAAATACTTACAGTAAACCTGACATTTTAAAATATTTAGTTTCCACAATCAAGTACCCTTTAGTTTTTCTTTAACCCCTCCATGCCGGTTGCCTCCTGGCCCTTTAAGGAGTTTCTGACGCCAGGAGGCAGGGTGGGGTTTAGGGTCATGTGACCGCCGTGACTAGCTGTCACGGCAGTCACATGATCAGAAAGGTCTTGATCGCAAGATTGGGACCTTTCTGTGGGACACAAACACGTGCTGGGAGCGCGCTCTCAGTACATGCTTGTTTACAAATGGTGCACAAATATGCTGCTGCTGAGCATCAAGGCCGAGCTGCCGAGGCAAATGCATACTGTTGGCGTGATGAGGATAAGGAAAAACATCACTTTTTTTACCAAAAAAAGTTACAATTTCTACACAAGCCATTTTTTAATATAACTAGAAACTAATAAAAAATGTGCAAATGTCATTAAGAGTATAGAATCCAGAGTATATGCAACTCGAAAAAAAAAAAATTGAATGTTTTGTTCACGTTACATTTAGAATTTTTCAAGAATTCTGCAGAGTTACAGTGGGATCGAAATAAAAAAAGACAATCGTCTTCAAACAAAAGAAAAAAAAACTGAAAACTGAAAAGTCTTCATATATAAAATCCTTTACCCACAGTTATTCTCTGAATCAACAGTCCCTGCATGTTATTACCTATACATGTTAGTTTCTAGTTATATTATGTGTATGTAAGTATGTAAGAATGCATCCAGCTCTTTTTTAAAACAATCTACAGAGCTGGCCATAACTAGTTCTTGGGGGGAGTCTATTTCACATTTTCGCAGCTCTTACTGTGAATAAGCATTTCTATATGTGAAGGTTAAATCTTCTTTCCCTCAGATGTAAAGAGTGCCACCTGGTCCTCTGTGATGACCTTAAAGTGAATAACTCTACACCAAGTTCACTATGGACTAGGGATGCACCAAAATTTTGGCCAACGAAACATATCGGCCGCAAATAGCTCTATCGGCATGTGGCTGATAGGAGAAACTTAGCCGATACAGGGGACTGTGTGTACTGCAGATATATGGGGGGGGGGGGGGGCGGAGAAAGGCAGGAGAGGAGCAGTGTATACAGTGATTGGCTGTCACTATGGGGTTTATTTACTAAAGCTGGTTCACTCAGAATCTCGTGTACTTCTGCATGGAAACCAATCAGCTTCCAGGTTTTATTGCTAAAGCTTAATTTAGCAAGCTGAGGTTAGAAGCTGATTGGCTGCCATGCACAGGTGCACGAGATTCTGAGTGAATCAGCTTTAGTAAATCTCCCCCTATATGTCAGTGCCAGTTTTTAAATGCAAGTGCCGGGTTTTTTCTTTTTCCTTCACTATAAGTTCAGAGAATCAGCTTTCACTTTCCCAGAGCTAAAATAAACATTTCTTTTTAGTTTCTTTCCTGAGCTAAAAGAAAAAAAGTTTCATTCATTCTCTGAGCTAAGGTGAAGAAAAAAAAAAAAAAAAAAGCCGGCACTTGCACTTAAAAATCAGAACTGACATATAGGCCCTGATTTACTATGAATTGAGTCTACCAGCAGACGCTGAACATTCAGGCAGACTCAATTCAATCAATCTAGACCTGTCAGTCATCAGAAAGGCATCTAGCAAGCTAATTGGAAAGTCTACTTTGTAGACTCTTTTCCTGTTAGTAAATCCGGAATCGCGTCAGGCACATTTCTAGATGCAATACGGAATATGTTTGCTAGGTGGCGCACAACTGCAGGCTTTGTCCCATTGGTGTTTTTCTGTTTGTATATGAGAATACTTATAATTTAAAATAAAAAGCACACCTATATTATAATATTTTTTTTTCTGCGGTTTCTCCAAAAACGATCGGCCAACTAATGCATTTCCTAACGAATGTCATACATTCTATTTTCAAATGTCAAACATTT